AAGCAACACAGTTGCAAAATATGTGTTTAACACTTACAGCACAGTTGCAGTGCTGACATACTGGTTCGTCATCTCCCTTCAAAAGGTATTGATGAGTCAGTCGAGTGTGTCCAATTCTCAGACGAGTAAGGATAACCTCAGATCTCCTATCATATTGCCTATTATGTGTCCAATTTTCTATATTTGGCTTGATCTCATGTAGTTTATTGTGGACTTGTACATTCCACACTTTTTGCCATCTCTCTGCTAGTCGTTTTTTAACAACTAGCTTCAAATCATCTCCTTCAATACGCATTATATGCTGTAAAGGACTAGCTGCCTTTGCAGCTGCGTCAGCTTCTTCATTCCCTTTTATACCTACATGACCTGGGAACCAACAAAATTTTACGAAGAAATTTCTCGCAGTAAAATGGCAAAAAAGCTTACGAATTTTAATCACTATAGAGTGAGAACTAGGTTCACGTGAAATCAAAGCCTGAGGTGCACTAACTGAGTCAGTGTAAATAACACAGGAACGATGACCTTTCCTATTTATATACTTTAAAACTAAATAAATAGCATGCAACTCTGCAGACAAGATGAAAGAATTCAATGCAATTTGTTCTGCCACGATTTCATCCTGGCAGACGAAGGCTAAGCAATAGTAATCATCAGATTTAGATCCATCTGTATAAATGGGAATTAAATTCCTGTCACAATGTTGAATTTCTGCAAAGTGCTGTCTGTACACAAAGTCTGGGGTGGATTCCTTTGGAAATTGCTTTAAGCTAAAGTCAACATTTATCACAGAGGTTGACCAAGGAGATATATTACAGACCTCTAACTGTGAAATGTTGCCTGTGTTCAGATCAATTGTGCTGCTCGCATTCTCCATTCTTATGGCGAATGAAGGGACACTGCTTGGGCGAGCTTCAAATAACCTTTTCAGCTAAGTAACTAATACTGTACAATCAACTGAAGGTTTAGAGTAAGATTTCTGTTTTATATAGTAAAATAGAGACAACTGTTCTCTCCTGAGAGATAGTGGAGGCTCATAAGCTTCCACATACAAGCTTTGTACAGGACAAGTTCGAAAAGCACCAGTGCACAAACGTAGTGCTTGGTGGTGAATTGGATCCAGCATCTGAAAAGTAGATTCTCGCGCAGAGCCATAAACAATGCAACCGTAGTCCAGCTTAGAGCAGACAAAAGCCCTATAAATCCTGAGCATAGAAACTTTGTCTGCTCCCCAGGATGAGCAGCATAGTGCCTTTAAAAGGTTTAGAGATTTTAAACATCTATTCTTCAGGTTGCGTAAGTGCGGCAAAAATGTCAGTTTTTAGTCGAAATAAACACCCAAAAACTTAGCCTCATTCACCACTGGAATTTTATCGCCATTTCTGTGAATTTCAGGATCCAGGTGCAAACCACGCCTTCAGCAGAAGTGGATGCACGATGTCTTCGCTGCATTAAACGTAAACCCATTTGTCTTGGACCAATTATATATGCGATTTAAAGAGGTTTGAAGTTGTCTCTCAATGAAACTCATATTACTAGACTGACAGGAGATCTGAAAGTCATCCACATACAAAAAGTGTTTCACACTGGAAGGTAGACAGTTAGCTATGCTGTTAATTTTAATTAGGAACAGAGTTACACTCAAAATAGAACCTTGAGGAACACCTCCTTCTTGTGTGAAAAGCCTAGATAAAGCGTCACCCATCCGAACTTGAAATCTTCGATTCTGTAAAAAGTTTTTTATAAAAATTGGCAAATTACCCCGCAATCCGAATTGGTGTAGATCACGGAGTATCCCATATCGCCAACAGCGATCATAGGCCTTCTCTATGTCAAAAAACACAGACACTAAGTGCTGTCGTCAAACAAACGCTTCGCGTATAGATGTTTCAAGGTATATCAGGTTATCAGTGGTACTTCTGTTCCTACGAAAACCACTCTGATGTGGTGAAAAGTATTCCTTTTTCTCTAAGAGATACATTAGACGCCTGTTTACCATTCTCTCAAAGAGTTTACACAGGCAACTTGTCAGAGAGATTGGTCTGAAATTTGAGGGATTCTTGTGATCTTTACCAGGTTTGGGAATGGGAATAATGATAGAAAGCCTCCAAGAGTTGGGAAAAGTATGTTCTGTCCATATTCTGTTAAACAGATTCAGAACATTACAAAGAGAATTGTCTGAAAAATTTTTAATCATGCTGTAGTGGATTTTATCTGGACCTACAGCAGTATTCCCCGAGTGAGAGATTGCTGTATGTAGTTCTATGCTGGTGAATGGCACATTATATTCCTCATTATATGAAAAATGGAAATTTAAATATTGTTTTTCACTTTGGGCTTTATAAGCATGAAAATTTCTTGGATACATAATATTGCTGGATGAAGACAAAAATGTTTCACCCAACAAATTGGCAATACCCTGTATATCACTAATTATTGTGCCATTATTTTCCAGCATGGACAGAGAGTGGGAAGCATATTTTCTATTAATTTTATGAATTTTATCCCAGACTGCTTTTGAACTAGTGGAAGATGTTATGCTAGAAACACTTCCTCCAAGAATCCCTTTGGCTTTGCCTTCTAATTCTTCTGGCATTTGCCTTTGCTTTTTTAAAAGCAGTGAAATTACTAGCAGTGGGGTATCTTCTGAAAATCCCCCATGCTTTCTTTTGTGCTTTAAATGCTGTCTCACAATTCTGATCCCACCATGGTTTTGGATGCTTTGGATATCTGGTTGATGTTTTCCCCATTGCTTTTTCAGCTGCCTGTATAATACTAGAAGTGACAACTTCAACTGCGTCAATGATATCAGCAGTATTGACCATTTCCTCAGTGATGTTAGCCAAAGAGGAGAATGCAGGCCAATCTGCCATTTCCACTTTCCAGCATAGTAGACAAGCTGTTTCACAGCTTTCTCTGCCTCGATATTTTAGAAATATTGGGAAGTGGTCACTAGAGTGGATTAGATCCAACCTCCCATGTAAATGCTGAAAACAGATTTAAAGTTGCTAATGATAGATCAATGGCAGTGAACGTTCTTGATGGGGCATGAAAATATGTCACTTCTCCAGTATTGAATAGATACAGTTGATGATTACCTATAAATCTCTCAATGGCTCTGCCTCAACGATTGTTGTCTGGACTGCCCCACATAGGATTGTGGCCATTAAAATCACCAAGTAAAATAAATGGTGTTGGCAGCTGTTCAACTAACGCATCCAATTCATCCTCATTGACTCTGACATTTGGTGGCAAGTATATAGAAAAAACTGTGACAGTTACGCCAATTTAAATTTTGACTGCCACAGTTTGCAGCTCTGTTGTTATTTGTACCAGTAAGGATGGAATGCGATTTGAAACCAGAATAGCCACACCGCCACTGGCACGATTGTGGCTATCATCATCTTTACGGTAGAGATTGAATCCTTTTAAAGTAATTATTTCTCCAGGTTTCAGATGGGTTTCCTTGAGTGCCATGCGGAGAGTTGAGGTAGATGATGTCAAGTGTTTAATGTCAGAGAAGTTGTTGCGGAAACCACAACAGTTCCATTGGATTATTTTATAATCCATTATGTGTTTAAGGCAGCATTCTTTGTGAACGTATCCCTCTTCAGTTTTACGGCTGATTTGCCTTTTGGAGGTGAAGTTGGTGGTGTCATCTCCTTATTAGTCTCCTCGTCAGAGAAATCAGAGAACTCACTCATAGACTGAGCCTCTAATCTCTTAGATTTGGAGATGGCTGCTTTTAATTTTTGTTTGTTGAGTGGGTTCTTAGCAGCCTTCTTAGAACCTACATTTCTAGTCATTACCCCTGTTTTAGGTAGGGGTGTTTTAGTCTTCTTGGGCTCTCCTTTTCTGCTGTTTGGGTGGATGGTATTAGCAAACATTTTTCATGGCGAGTTAGAGATTCATTTGGTGAAACAGAAATGTCTGTCTGAACTCCACATGTCTTTGTGGATTTCAGAACAGCAGCAAATGTCTTCTGTTTCACTGGTGCATTTAAAGTGACCATGCGTCTTGCCTCTGGGTAAGGTATATTATTCACCGTCTTTACCCGCTGAATCTCTTTCTCTCTTTGCCACTTGGAACATTTTCGGGAGTAGGCAGGATGGGCCTCTTTGCAGTTGACACAGCATGGAGTGGTTGTACACTCAGTACCCTGGTGGCCTTGAAGGCCACCAGGGTACTGAGCACATAAACTTTGCACATAAACTGTGCACATAAACTTTTGCCTCGACATGATGTTTGGGAATGTCCAAATTGCTGGCATTTAAAGCAACACAGCGAATTTGAAATGTACGGACGAACCGGACAGCGCAGATATCCTGCAGTAACAAATGATGGTAATGTTGGCTTTCCGAAAGTAAGAATGAGATGCTTAGTCGGTATCAACTTGGCATTTCGACGAATGGAGATGCGTCAGACAGCAATGACTCCTTGATCTGAAAGACCGATCTGTATAGCTGATTCATCTTCAGACATCAGATCAATCTCGGATATCACCCCACGTGATGAGTTTAGACTTCCGTGTGGGGTGACAGTGACTTCCATGTCTCCAAGTGTTTTTGTTGCCAATAGATTTACTGTTTGTTGAGGTGAGGCTGTTTCTACCAGCAGGTCCCCTGACCTCAATTTTTGTATCTTTTTCAAGTGCCCAATAGTTGATTCAAATATTTTTTGAATAAGAAATGGAGAGCATTTTGACAGTGGTTATCACCAGTCGCATGAACTATCAAGTAAGTTGCAGTGCTGGAAACGTTGGTTGTTACTAGAGGTAACTTATCCCTGTTTAGTTTTAAATTGTTGGAATCCATATTTAGACAAAACAATTCAGCTCCTAGTGACCCCACCCACCATGGGGCCCAACGAGGGGATGCCGTCACATGGGAGACTCCCATAGACTGTCACACCAGGGTTTCCCAGGAGCTATACCCTCACAATGCAGTTAACAAGAGCACATCTTGTCTGATGTGTCCGCCCGGTCTGCATCGATCGGTTGACTCCAAGCCGAGGTCAAGAATGACTCAACAACCAGCCGATTGACTCAAACGGAGCCTGATTTGAGCCTCCCGTTTATCTGAAGCAGGGGCCAAAGCAGTGTGTTGGGGACGTTATGTTGCCCCTCAACTACCAAAATCCCCCTTTCCGGCATATGGGACACCATGCATGGCAAACACGTGGGTGGGCGTTCAGATCCCAGGGATGGTAAAGAAGAGTTATTAAACCATCTCTGGGTGGTTCCCTCACCACGGACAGGAACCCACATCGAGGGGATTAGAGGGCTTGGACCCTCGTCATATTCTCACACCACGTATTGGAGATATTATTTCAAATATCGCTCAAACTGTTTAGAAATGTTTACTTTCATACCTAAAGAACATTCCTTCGCTTTCTCTTCTGGACATTGATCTTGCTGTTTTTACAAAGGGGGAGTTGTTGGTACTTCAGGAAGTTGTGGTTACTCAACTTCAGTCTGTTCTTGCTCAGTAGTCTGATTGGATTGTGCCACACACGTTAAAGTATCTGTTTGTTTTTGCAGCCTTTCAGTTGCCAGATTCTAAGAGACTTCCGCCGATTCACTTAGATTAGCATCTTTGTCAAGAACAACATATTCCTCATCCCTGATCTTAAAGTGATTTCAAGGCCATAATCCACAAGATTCGAAGCCATGTATGCCTGTGTCCATAGAAATGGTTTGAGGATATGCTTTATTAAGGAACCAGGATGGTTTTGCATCCACGATGCGCAAGTAGCACTAAAATTCAGTTTTAGTGATTTGCAAAATGACCTATCTAGTCTATTCTTTGATGTGTAGTCAATCCTTGTAAATGTCGTCTAAATGTCGGTTGCGGTTATACACACGACAAACTTCGTTAAATTGTAAAGTCCCGTCATTATGTAGAAGACGTGGTTGCTGTATCTTCAAATTCTGTGTATAGCGTCTTTGTAATCCAAACAATAATTTTGGTAGACAATCAAACAGCAATTGGTTAGAAAACGTTATGTTTTATTTAAAATATTTCTAATTCAGATGCATTTCGGGTTGGCTTATATTCCCAACCCCTCTTCAGTGCTGTTAAAATTACAAAAAACAAGGCAAGTTTCACGACATTGGTGAGTATGACTTAAGAAAAACGCGAGACGATGATAACATAAAATGCTTACATATTATATAATGGTACATCATAGACTTGTGTGACTATGTTTTTATTACATAGTTGTATGATTATTTCCTATAATATGAAAAAATGGTAAAAGGGGGAAGGCTGTTTAACACATCATTTATATGCAAAAACGTATAACAGATTATTAATTTCAAAATATCTATAAACACTTACATTTTTAGTTAAAATGTATTATTCCCAATACAAAATGGAACAGAGTACAAATTGACAACTGGTGTTATCCGGTGTTCACCAAGTAAAAGTATACTGACAAGTGATGTTATTTAAACCATTCCCCACATTCCGTACAAGGGGGAGTGCTTTAAACAATCTTTAACGAATGGAGGCGCTCTCTATTAGTTTATACCATTATATTTTTTAATCGCTTCTTTCATATTTTCTTTAATCCAAAAATTATATATATTTTTTTGACATGTTGTTCTAAAATTAAAGACAATTAAGTTTTAATTTGTTTTGAACTTTTGCAGTTATTTTTCAAAACAGAAACTTAGTAAAAAAAATAAGTTTACGAATCAGTAATAGCTTATTTTGACATTCATCTATAATGGTTTTTCTGAATCGTACCAGTACATTTTAAGAACTCCCCTCGAATACAAAATAGGCACAAGAGTCAAACAGACTTTACATTTGCCGCTAAAAAATTTGACAACAAATATGCATATATCATCACATCAGATGAAAACACAAAAATACACATTAATACATCACAGATAGTTAAAAAAACTTATCCACGATCCAATTTGAAGAAAGTTCTCACGAAATGTACAAAAATATTACAGAAAAAGTTGAAAAAACTTACCTTTTCAATATTTTTGCCGGGAGCAGTGTAACAGCGTGTTGTCTGTCAGATGGTAATATGGCCGATTGTTATTTACTTTTTTTGCCACTAAAGACACTAATAGCTATTACCGGAGTTGAGATATAAGTGAAGTACGAATTAGGCAAGTTTACCCAACTGTACATCACCTCAGTGCAGGGTATTTACATTTATTCAAGTGTTGTGTTGTGTAAATCATGGCTTCTAAAAAAACAGAAAGGTAATTTCAATTGAAAGAAAGCAAGAAATTATTAGAAGGAATGAAAGTTGACAAAAACTTCCTTGTCAAATGGGGAGAGGTTCGGAAATTTACCAACACTCATTATCCAAACACAGCTGAGGCCAACAGGATCAATTATCTCTACAATGACACCCTTGCCTGTCATTTCCGACAGATGTTCAAGAAGAGAGAGAAACAGACCACCTTGGGCATGTTTTTCAAGAAGCCAGCTGCCAAAAAACAAGAAATGTTACAAGAGGAGTTGACCCTGCATGCCCTGAATCTGACTCTGATTAAAAATCAATAAAAAGAGACCTACTGCAATGTGTAAAAAGTTTGTATCTGTATGAATGTGTGAAGAAAGTGTTCTCCACCTCCTCCTCACAACATCTGACTACCCAATGGTAACTGCTCCATTTTCATCTTTTTATCGTACAATACGGTTATTTAATGCTGTGGAACGAATTATATGTTTTAACGTGGTAAAATGCATTTCGTATAACGGACTTTTCACTTAACGGACGTGCACCTGGAACGGATTAAGTACATTATACAAGGCACCACTGTATATGTGTTTCTGGAGGGGGGATGGTGCGCCAATAAAGTGTCGTGCCCCAGGAGCCAGTTATGTTCGCTACGCCACCGTGTAGGGCAGTGTTTTTCAACCTGCGGGTCCTACACTACATTAAAAAAACTAAAATTTCAGTGAGAAGGCTGTACATGTTTATTTTACAGTATAATTGGATTTTTGATCAATACTTAGGTCTCAACCATGGGTGTAGTTAGGTCTCAACCATGGGGAAAATGATAGCCGAAAAAGTGTTGGATCCTAAAAAAAAGAAAAAGTCAACGGCTCCCTGTGCCCAATGTTATGATTAAAGGAAATTTCATACTTTACCTGTATTAAGATATTGTCGATTCTTATAAAATTTTCATCTTAATCAACTATAATTTGTTTCAACAGAAAGAAAATTAAATACATAGTTTTTAAAATCACTGATATAGTTTTAATATGGCCCTGGGGGGTCGCCAGAACTTTTTAACTTGTAAAGGGGTCGCGTATTCAAGAAGATTGAAAAACACTGGTGTAGGGGATCGACGATCAAAAAAGTTTGGCGACCCCTGTACTAGACCTACCTGTTATTTGAAATTTAGCAACTGTAGCCGTCCATAAACGTTGTTTAGTGTCTTTATACATGACATTGATTTGGTCGAACAGATTCAAAAAACTCCTCTATTTCATTTATTTTTCGTTTTTTTTTTTTTTGAGATCGTCACAATTGTAGAGTAGTTTTAACCCTCTATCGCTTCAGGCCGAGGCCATCGTTATTCAAGGCCTGCTTGTAACCGTGTTAAAGAATTGTGACGTCAAATTACTGATCATTCGTTGTTTACTGGACAATGTGGTGTTGGATATATCAAAGCTCGTCTTTCTAGTTCATTTTATAATCCAGTTCCAGTGGCATCATAAATTGGATATTATTTATATTCATCTAGTTTATCAAAGGTAAGACATTTTTTTGATTATTAATTATATAAAAAGAAAATTAAGGGTATTTTAAGTACATAACTAGTTATTATGTAGACCATTTTTCAATATTTTCAAATTAGGCCTAATTCGTAAATACACTTTAAAAGGAAAGACATTTTAGTTATACATTATATTTTTTGTGGATAAAGTCAGTTTGATTTATATATTGGATATTATAAATAATGGTAAGATTTTCTTGTTGGCAATTCAATATAAGATTTCGACAATTGGTACAATCCCTGATTTACATCAAGTTATCTAAGTTGTCCCATTCGTTAAAATATTAATAATTTCTTATAATTCTAAGTGAAATGAATAAACTAGTTTAATTAGGACAAAATTGGATATAACATAAGTTAATAATATGTAATATACTGTATGTGTGTATATATATACTGTATATGTGCTATAGTAGATATGGGTAAGAATATGTTACTAATTATTTTACATTATAACTAAAAAGAATTTAAATATATGTATTTACATAATAGATGCCTCAAAGATGCTGTGTGACAGGCTGTAAAAGCAATTACTCATCTACAGAGTACACAACAGTTTTCTCTTTCCCCAAAAGTCAAGAAATGATTAGTAAGTGGATTAACGCTATACCACGTAATGACTTTTCTCCTTCTAAAACAGTGTTGTGTGTATTAAACATTTTGATGACAAATTTATCATTAAAGAAGATAAAGTAAAAAGAGATGATGGGTCATGGTTAATAGTTCCTAGATTGAAACCAAAAATAACTGAAGATGCCTATCCTTCCATATTTCCAAATTGTCCAGCTTACCTTTCACGTAAGCCTCCAGCCAAAAGAAAAGCTGGTGATGACAGAAGAAAAGAATTATTTGAATGTGATAATCAACAGTTTCGTGAATGGTGCCAAAAAGATATCATTAAATCACTTGCAGATTTGAAAGATGGTATTTCCAATCATGTTGCAAATTCTTGGTTGTATTTATTTGATACAGAATATGTTTTATTATATAAAATTACAATGTCAGATATTCCACAAGTAACCCATGCTATTAAATTGTTTCAAAATTTTGATATATGCATATATTTTAATGGAACCCAATTGGATAACAAAAACTTTAAATGGCTGTTAGGATCAGAAAAAAAGTGTGATCAATGGACTAAATTTGAGGCATTATTGAGTCATTTACAAGGATATAACAAAAATGAAAGATAAACTGCATCAAGCTGCACAAATAATCTTAGAATGTTTAAGTACGAGAGTGAAGATTCTTTTGAATTTTCAAATACAAAATTGTCATTTCTCTGTGAACAGATAAATTTATTCAGTTCGAAACAACCAAGATACAGTTCTGAGACTTTAATATGGGCTTCCATGTTATTTTTTCATTCTCCAACTGCATATAGGCTCATTAAAAATAGTAATGTTTTGACATTACCACATGCATCCTATTTGAGGAGTTTTACTAGTTGCATTACTAATGATATTGATCCAAATACAGAACATATTACATATCTTAAAAAAAAAGTTCAATGCCTTAACTCAAAAGATAAAATAGTTATACTACAATTAGATGAAATACATGTAAAACCCATGCCATTATACAAAGGTGGTAGAATTTATGGATTAGCAATAAATGAAAAAATGTCAGAAGCTAAATGTGTTTTGGCATTTCCAGTGGCATCATTATTTTCTAAAGAAAAAGATATTATTGCATTATATCCAGTTTGCAGTCTTAAAGCTGAGCAGTTGTTGGAATTAACAAAACAAGTGTTGAAAGTTGTAGCAAGCATTGGTTATCAAGTTGTTTCCATGATTGCCGATAACAACAGAATAAATCTCAAAAAAGAGTAAAATGTTTACTCTTTTTTGTGATGGTGAATTAAAAGTATCTGTGAAGAATCCATTCTCAGAGGAATTGATTTTCTTACTATTTGATTCTATGCACTTATTAAAATCAATTCGAAATAATTGGCTGAATCAACACCATACTAACCAGACATTTTTTTATCATGACATACAAAAGGAAACAAAATGCATTGCTAGTTTGTTTCATCTAAAAGAGATATTAAGAGCAGAAGAAGGCAAAATTGTGAAGTTTGCACCATCTTTGTCTTTAAAGGTATTATATCCTTCATCATTGGAAAGGCAAAATGTTTCATATGCAGTAAAACTTTTTGATAAAAAAGTAGCTGCAGCTCTGCAGGAATTTGCACAAAATGCAGATTATATCCAGACAAGATTTTATTGAAAGAATTGCAATATGGTGGAATGTAATGAATGTAAAACATCCAGAAAAGGGAAAACAATTAACAGATATTTACTGCAGACCAATATATACTAAAAATGATGAGCAAATTAAATTTCTGAATTGTTTTATAGAATTTTTGGATGCATGGGATAAATTTAACTTGAAACAACACTATGGAAGATTGTCATATGAAACACATTTCGCTTTAAAACATACAACTTATGCTACGATTCATCTTATTGAATATTTGTTTGAAAAATTTTCATTGAAGTTTGTACTTTTGGGAAAGTTCCAAACAGATAATCTTGAAGCTAGGTTTGGACAATATCGCCAAATGTGTGGTGGTAATTATCATGTTAGTGTTGTGCAGGTTTTAGAATGTGAAAAAAAATTAAAAATTTTAAGTTTACTGAAATTAAAATCTGAGAGAATAGGGAATTTCCATATTAAAGATTTGATGTCAGCTCAAGTAGAAAATTGTATGCAAGATTCCTTTAAATCACAGATGGATATTTGTTTTGAATGTTTGGATGATGTTCCAATTGAATGTGAAATGATAACAGTTCCTTTGTCTACTGTTAAAATTTTAGTTTTTATTGCTGGTTATGCTGTTCATAAATTATTACAGAAGATTTCATGTGAAAAGTGTAAGTCAGTAATATCCTGTTTAGATAAAAAATTAGAATTTGACATTTTACACCCTGAACTTATAAGTTATATTAAAGAAATTGATAGAGGAGGACTTTCATATCCATCTGGTTTATTTCTCACTTTAACTGTTGAATTATATAAGCTTTTTCAATGTTTATTACAAGCTAAGTATGACGATCAATTTCTACAGTGCAAAAAACAAAAAGAGTTATTTATGAAACTTTCATTTGAAAGAATTGAACTAATTGATTTAGTATCTGTCAGTGTTCCATGTATCTGTGGAACAATGCCATATTTTCTTTTGAAAAATTTTTTAAATATAATTTCAAATATTTTTTTAAATAATTATTGTCATGCAAGAATATCAGCATTGAAACATATACCTGGAAGAAAAAGGAAATTACAAACTTACAATAAATCTGCAAATTAATTACTTTAAATACTTTACCTACACATTTCCACTTGCACTTATTCTCATAATAGTAATAAATATTTATATACTGTATTAAGTTAGATTTCTGTTTTATTTTATATATAAATTTTTCTAAATACATTTACAGAAGTAATATGTAATAATATAGATTTTTAAAATAAATTATATTCTTTGTAAGATAAAAATTAATAATTGCAAGACTTTTGATATATTTATTTGTTTAAAAAGTTGATAAAATAAATTTTAAAAGTTAATCATGCAGTGTTGTTCATTATGAAACTTTTTTCACTTAAAAATTATTTAATACATTTATAACATTTAAATATTACCTCGATAAATTAATTTTAAAAATAATTCTTTTGATAAAAAAAAATATTCTATTTAACATAAATGATCAGCAACGCTTTGATGATGAATGACCAGTACTGTGACCTCCAAGCAGGCCTTGAATAACGATGGCCTCAGTCAGACCCATCCTAGTCTCGTGTAATGATTAATTTAACTTTCGTAATTCTCACCTGACCCGTCTTGTTCGTACGCCAGGTTCCCGGTCGTATCTCCAACCAAGGAAAGTCCACTAAATCTGTCTTTCGATTTTATTCACACAAAACAAAAATCAACTAATTCGGTTACAAGAGCATTCCGCTATTTCCCGCTCTTTTTGAACATGAGAACTCTTTTCTGAGTGTTGCCAACTCTCTACAATAATAATTAGAAAAAAAAACGCCCGCCATCTAGCGGTATGAACGGGTCATCCTTCCACCTTTGATTTTGTCAGTCAAAATCAAATTAAACTTAAATTTAAACCTGACAAAACACATATAGTATAAATTGAATGAGTTCGAATCAATTTATAAATCTAGTCGATTGGGAGTCTTTAGGGGTCTGCTCCTTTTTGAGACTCGATAATTCTCAGATGAGTTTGTCACAACATCACTCCCTGTAACGGCAGTGGTCATTCGGGACTCATCATAGGTCCCCTTGCGATCATTTTCAGTAGAGTCTGCAGTCTTGATACGAAATTCGTTTCGCATAGCATGCTTTTTATCCTCCGAAAAGATCACCAAGGGGTACAATCTCCTAACAGGACGGATGAGAAATCCAACATGTGCTTTTATTTTGGCTACCTCTTACCAATCCATCTTTATCTGGATAGATTTCGATAACTTTCGCCAGAGGCCAATCAAGTCGTTTTTGGTTGTCATGCCCAACCAAGACGATATCTCCCACGGCAATCATTTTAATGCCCTTGGCTACCCCTCTCGGGTTTTGCAATTGCGCCAGGTACTCAATTCGAAATCTATTTCGTAAATATTTTCTCAACTTGCATAAATAACGGAATCTCTTCCCAAGATTTACCTTTTCCATGTGGTCTAAATTGGGAAGTCCAGTTTCCTTTACTCCTTGCAGAAACATATTACGAGTCAACGGAATTAAATCTTCAATATCTTCCGAGAGAGTAGTAAGTGGTCGAGAGTTCATCAAACCCTTTACCTCACAGATAATTGTGTAGAGTTCTTCGTAGGTTAACGAAGCTCGTCATATTTCACAATATTCTCCTCATAATCTCTTCATAAAATTCATAAGTCAAATTCTCCTCATAATCTGCTTTACACATCCTACCAACCTTTCCCACCAGCCACCCCCATGGCGAAGCTGGAGGAATGAATTTCCAGGTAATGTCTTGAACAAGAATTTCGTCTTTGATCTCTTTAAGTTCCACCTCAGAGAAAATTTTGGCGGCACCGACAAAATTTGTGCCGTTATCACTATAAATAACAGAAGGGCGTCCTCTTCTTGCCACAAATCTTCTAAATGTCTGCAGGAACGCCTTTGTTGACAGGGACGTCAACAATTCAAGATTCAAGCCCTGTATACTGCACAAGTATACAGGCCAATCCAACACTTGTGTATCCCTCAGGTACTGTGGCCCAGCTACATCAACGCCAATAACCTCGAATGGCGCAGCATCTCTTATGAGATCCACGGGCAATGGCGAAGATTCAGGGTGGGCTAGAGACACATCAAATTTTCGACACGTAGACTATCACATTATGATTGCCCCTGGAAGTCGGCTTCTTACAGAAACACAGCTTCCCTATCATCAGATGTCACGGCACGCCACTGAATTTCATGTTGTACTCTATTCATGACAAATGTAGCCCAACATTCCTGAGTTTTTAAATTAATTTAAAAAATTTAAAAACATTTAAAAACATTTAAAATCAGTTAACGTAAAGCAGGTTTCCTATGGCGCTTACTCGTCATGGCTTCTCATGAGCAATACAGAGTTTTGTTTTCCATTTCTCGTTGATCAAACATTATTATACTTGCCATGGTATTAAAATCACTTTTCATAGTATCCATAAATTCTTTTACTTCGAACTGCTTAAGGCCGTCCCTCTNATAATTTTGTTTTTCTTATGGGTTTTCTGAATTCATCGTCCATATTTAATCGTGTTGTTATCAACAACAGCGTGGAGGAATCAGTCCAAGAGAAGTCTCCTGCAACAATATGAAAGAATAACTATTATTTATAGTGTATTAGTATATACATGTATATACTGATGTACTTGTATATAAACATATACATACCTGATTCTCCCTCCTCGTGTGATTTGCTGGCCAGTCTTATTGAATTAATATCAACATCTTCCGGTAAACCAATCTGTTCTCTCATTCCCCTCTCATATATCAGTTCTTCAAAAAACCGAGGAATGAAATCATGATCTGAAAACCATAAAAGAACATGAACTTTTGTTGTTTGATAGGAACTAAACAAATGACTTGTCCTTTTTAATTACTTTAAACTAGTTTTACTATTATTAATGCTATAAATGCTTATCATACCCTCCAATTCATAATAAAACTAATTTATACAATTTAATTGTAATTTTAACTGTAACTGTTCAAGGTAACCTTTATCACAAGGGGTAATAAATTGGTTATTGTATACATTTGAATATTATGTTCCAACTGATGAGAGACTATAAATCCAAAATGCATTTTTTTTTCTTTTTTGGAAAATACACGTGTATAAAGTCCTATAAATTAAAGGATATGTAAGCCTTTATTTATACCATTCATAGCAATTTGCTTATGATATAGCCTAGTTTACAGCAATTCTTAATAATATCACGTTGGAATTACTTTTAAGATACTAATATTGCGTAGAAAGTGATTATTATTTGTATAATGTAATTTATCAAACCAATTATGTAAAAAGTATGCCTGTACAGTCTTTTACACAAACTTTAATATATAATTTTTTGTGTGAATTTCGAGTTTATTTCGTGTAATTAATAAAGCGTTATGAAAAACAATAACTTACCATTTTCTAAACGACGTTTAATTGAAGAATCAACTTTTAGTTCAATTTTTAAGTTCTCGTAAACAAATTCGACGAATTCCATCGTGGTGGCTGCCATTTTGTTTAAGCGCAAAAAGCACCTGGTTCGATCGCTGCAGATTTAACCTCGAACCAGTGAAATCGCTGAGACGTTCGCTGCGCGCAGCGCTTCAAGAAAACGAGTTTAACAACGCTCTCAGCGGCATCGCTTAGAAGCGCTGTTCGCAGCGCTGAATTTAACAACAACCCGAAAGATTAAAAACCACACATAAACTTATATGTAATTCGCGGACTCTTGAAAACCGAAAATGTGTTATCTTGGGTTGTCGAGCTGTCAGAAAAAGATTTCTATTTAAAATTATAAAGGTTAAGTATCAAATTTTATAATAATAAAAAAAAACAGATTGCATTATTAAAAGCCATCTACAGTACTTAAATTTAGAGTTATTATAATTGTTTCAAAGAGAAGAATCGAGTGATATGAAACACGACGTCATTGCAGATCACGTGACGCCTCAAAGTGTAGCAGAAAGAATGAATCCTTGGGTGCGTTCTTTTATTCCTCCGCGCGAGCGACATCCGTTTAAAAATTCCGGCGGAACGCGTTCCTAAATTCCGGTCGGAGTGCGCGCTGTCGAACGGCAAAAACGGCCGCTTGTAGCAGTAGTTTGCGGTGGAAAGCAACATGGCGTCCTCCATTGCCAGAGTCGGTAGATTAATCTACCGACTCTGTCCATGGCTCAGATAGTTTCGTTCGGGATCCATTAGGTGGTTTTATGAATGAAAATTTAGAAGTTGTGAAAGCGCAAGTTAGTGCACGCGGTGATGTAAGTGTCTTTTCGATTTTTTTCTAATGGTAGACGGCATTCTAATTTTTTTCGTGGCTCTTTTGAATGCTCTTTCAACAAATAATTCATTTTATGGTTAAATTTTACAATTGGGACTCTTCTTTTGCCTTTAAAACCTCATATTTTAGAATTATAGATTCCTCAATCACGATACTATCGATAGTGCGGGAGCCGCCATCTTTCTTTCTTTTACCGTCGTTCCTAAATGCCTACAAACAGCAGCGCACTCCAGTAGTAGTAGAGACACAGAGCGACCGCTATTAACGAATGCACCCCTTCCACCAGAAAAATAAATCAAGGGGGAACGTCATCGGTCACGTGATCCGATGACGCCGAGCGAGGTCATGTGACACGATCTGTAAGTGTACGTCTCCAATGTGCTACTCCTCGATGTAAACAGGGTTATGCAATGGCGGCATCCACCGTGCGTAGTCGGTAAGTAATTTCATGAGTTTTCGTTTATAGCTATTATTATACGCGTCGCCCCAAAAATTTCTATCTGTTTAGAACACGTCTACTAGTGAGGTCTCTTAATTTAAGAAAGCAAAATTAGGAAAAAACACTCCATGTATTGAAAGTAAACTTTTACCCACAACTTGTAATTTTTCATTCATAAAAACCAAATATTGGACACTAAAACGAAACTGTCTGAGCCCACGTTGACTCCTACCGTAAACTACTATTACAAATACCCGTTGTTGCGCCGACAGCGCGCTTTCCGCCAGAATAAAGAAACGAGTTCAGAATTAGTGTTACCACCCGTCCAGTTTTCGCCCGGACAGTCAAGGATTCGACCCACTGATTTTGTCCGGGAATATCGTGCGTAACCTGTTGACCTTTTTTTCTTTTGCTTGTACGATTCGTATTTGTACACGTCTCCAATATCCGATAGAGCTAAGTCATCTGTAATTGCTTTTTCTTAAACTAAATTACGTGACATCAAAGATTTTAATGTTGAGAGAGTTTTAAACATCAAGAAGTAACTTTTATCTGTTTTTCATTTCAATAAAGCATTTTTGTACATTTACTATAATAATAAAATAATCAAAAACAACAAATGTAAATTGCAAATTAAGTTTTTTTTTCATTCTTTATTAGACGATACAGTATTTTTAACCTTACAGAAACTTGTATTTAATGTTTTATATATATATTACAACAGAATATGCTAAGTAAAAATGCAGATTAGTTAACAATTTAATATATATTTTCACCTAAACATAATTCATACTTTTTAATGCATAATTGTTAAAACATTTTAAATAATAAGTTATCTTTTCTACAAATTCTCTAATCCATTGGTTTGCTTTTCAAATCAAATCCTGTGGAAACTTAATCACTTCGCTTTATATTTTCCTACGCAACACAAACAAAAATAGCTTACTATGAAAACATTACAGTACAAATGCAGCATTACTTTTTCCTGGCATTTATATTGATAAACAATTTCCATGATGAAATGCGTAGAAATTCTTATTTAAAACATATTCAAAGGAATTTAAATACTTACAGTATCATTGATTATTAAATAATTTATACAAGAATTCTATACTTTTAATTTGAAAAATGGTCATATAAATTTGATTAAACATATTTACAGAGACTGTATATCTATTATGGAACTGGATACATAAAATTTCTTTTTTATATTAAATTTGAAAAGTATTGTTTCTTAACACACAGATTTTGAACTGACATTCAAAAGCACAAAATATCTATCGATAGAAAGAACTGTCAATCCTGACTAAAGCATTAAAAAAAATTTTCTGATGACAGTAATCTATGGAGAATAGGCCTATTCTTTATTCAAAATTGTTCAATAACTTTTACATTTAAACTTTATAATGTATTTTCACTTCATACTCACTCAATATTACAACTAAAAAAATAATCTATTTCTGTGTGACTTCGTTCTGATGACCACAAAATATAATCAACCAGCATTTCCTATTTCGGTGGGTTGACGTCATTCAGCCGACCAATCAGCGCGTTGTGCCATCTAGATATTTAGTCGCACGTTTCAGAATTATCCTTTATTGCTAACACGTGACTACTTCTTGAGGGGCAACTTGAACTTTGCTCGAGTTACGCTTTCGTAACACCGTAATATTCTATAACGAAATTCACGAGTTAAGATTTGACAACGACGATTTATTTTTCGAGATTAAAAAGATATTCAGCCAAATATCCGACCATGTGTTCCTTTCGAACACCGTACCGGGGAACGTTTGCGCGCACCTCCCGCCACATCCTCTCGATCGTGTTGGTGTGGGAGTGTGGGAGCCCTTATGGGGATCAACAAAGTTATACTTGTGATTAAAGCCTTTCAGTTTGAAGACAATCATACGCCTTCCAGCAAGCACTAATAAGTGTTGTCTCCGGAAGTACCCATTCCTTGAAGACCACAAGTAACGTTTGTCTATCGCGTGTTTCCGGTACCAAAAACATTTTTCGAGACGCCCTCTCGATACCCCCGGAGATCCACTGACCATTGATTAATGTCCCCTTATTTTCCCAAACATATGTAATCAAGATATAATATTGTGAAGTAAAAAAAGTAGTACTTTATTAACATTTCTTATATAAAAATTATTATACAAATAAATAACACTACTATAAATTTATATTATATATACACATTTTTATATTTTGCATTTCTATGCATTTTACGTAAATGTGCATATTTTAAAAAAGATATTAATTAATTAATAATAAACGATATTTTTTTACATCTCAAGTTATCTTAAAAGTGTTACCATCCTGTTATGGGTTAGTTTATTATATGTAGTCGTCATTTCATCGTGCAGATACTATTTTTATACATGCAGAAAACTATTCTTAGTGTTTTAAAGTACTTTAGTTATAAATATATTTTATCTGTAGCCATATTCTGTAATTTCTACAGAACGAAGAGTAAAGACTACAACAAATACCAAACGGTTCTAGGAACACTTTTGTTACTTCCGTACAATTTTTATCGATATAATTATGTTTAATGATAGTAATAACGATAGTGTGAGATCTGCGAGTTAGATAAAGACGCACAATCGAAAATAGGTAAAATAAACACAATTATTTTATTAACTCGCTCGTTAAGATACAGGTTNTTTACTGTTGGTATTGAAGTTTTCTTTAGTTTAGGTCTTGTCAATAAACCTAATAATTCAGCTTTTAAATTTCTCTCAAAATCATTTTCTGTGAAATGATCAGAGCAAACATGACAAGAATCAGGATTAAATTTGTCTTTTCTTTTACAGTTATGGATCCATTTTCTTCTTATTATTGGATCTTTAGGAAATCTAAAATAACTGACTTTCCTGTCTAATGACTTTGTTTTACAATGGCTGTTATCACAATTTGCAACAGCACACGTTGCTCCTGGCATCTAAAAATAATAAAATTTAGATATTTGCGTAAATATGCATATTTTAAAAAGTTATATTAATTAATAATAAACAATATTCTTTTACATCGCATGTTATCTTAAAAGTGTTACCATCCTGTTATGGGCCAGCTTATTATTTGTAGTCGTCATTTCATCGTGCAGATACTATTTTTATACACGCAAAAAACTATTCTTAGTATTTTAAAGTTAATTAATTAATAATAAACGATATTTTTTTACATCTCAAGTTATCTTAAAAGTGTTACCATCCTGTTATGGGTTAGTTTATTATATGTAGTCGTCATTTCATCGTGCAGATACTATTTTTATACATGCAGAAAACTATTCTTAGTGTTTTAAAGTACTTTAGTTATAAATATATTTTATCTGTAGCCATATTCTGTAATTTCTACAGAACGAAGAGTAAAGACTACAACAAATACCAAACGGTTCTAGGAACACTTTTGTTACTTCCGTACAATTTTTATCGATATAATTATGTTTAATGATAGTAATAACGATAGTGTGAGATCTGCGAGTTAGATAAAGACGCACAATCGAAAATAGGTAAAATAAACACAATTATTTTATTAACTCGCTCGTTAAGATACAGGTTTCTAAGGATACCAACAATGCTACTCCCATTCGAATAATCCACAAAATTAATTATTCGACCACTGCACAATATGGTCTCCCGACAAAGATTGCACGCGCGTCGTCCTTTATCCGACCCGATTATCCGATTACCTAAGATTATCTTAATTAATACTAAATCCCTATTACTATTTAAAACTATTGAATAGAGCCGGCTTATTAGAAGATTTAGAAAATGAAAGTAAGGAGAAAGGAAAGAGGGTACCCAAAACTTGATGATTTCTGCTGCTTGTGTGGGCTCGTGGATGAGGTTCCTCGTGGGGTTGGAGACTGATTAGCTCCCTTTTTTGTTTCTATTTAAGATATTAGTCGGAAGGGTCGATCCGTCCGGTTCCTCTCAATTAATTTCCTTTTTTTTTCTCCGTTCCAAAGTTCTCGTCTCGACCATACGATGCTAAACGTACTGGGGAGACTTCCTCTCGCTCTCTCTCCTTCGGGTTTCCTCCTCCGAGTGACCACCGTTCCCCTCCACTCAGAGCTGCCTTCCTTCTTCCTCTCCAGTTAGTCCACCCACATACCCAAGCCAAAAGAAAAACAAGAACATTTCAGTAAGGGTAAACAACCCCTCCTCTCAGAGCTGCTTTCCTTTCATTGCTTCTCAGGTTAGTCCATCCACACACCAAAGTCAATGGAAAAACGAGAACATTCCAGTAAGGGTAAACAAATAGGACAGACAGAGGTGAAGCGGAAAATACACAAGATTGATTAACACAATTATATACAAAATATACGATTTAAATATGGCGTGTAGACACAATAATAATATTTACCTTCGAAGATTAAATGTCTATAAATTTTCAACAATGTAACAAAAATAGTGAAATTCCAAATTTTTTTCCTCGCTAACTGTTGGGAAGCGGTCGCTCGACCAGCTCGACTACGGATAAAGTATATACGGTATCCGGCTGAAAGTGGCTAAACCGGCTGTATGAGGTAACCTTATATTCTACGACCTTGGGTGCGAACGGGGTATAAGGCATCGGTCGGCTGCTGGCCTAGACCAAGAACTATATAGTCCTTGGGTCTAGACCAGTGTTCCGCGGCACACTAGTGTACCGTCACATGGTGAAAGGTGTGACGTGAACTTTTACCATATTCTGTTAATTTCAAGTTTTATTTATATATTTTTATCACAGTTGTTGTGTTTCTTATGCTTGTATTTCATTCTCTGCCTGATGAAATAAGATGATGTTTGTTTATTCTTTATTACAAGCCACGCATTTTTATGTACAGTAATGTACAGTATTCTAAGAAATTATATGTAAAAAAATTTGCTCACAGGTGTTGATGTCTGTTTAATAACAATAATAATAGGTTAGTGGCATTACGTAATTCTATTAATAGTATCATATCATACGTTTTTTAGAGGAATAACGTTTTCGTGTTCCATGTTCAGTCATGGGCGTGCCGCAAGTAAAAAAAAATTGCGGAACACTGGTCTAGACAACAAGTCCACGCCTCTGCCGCCTGGTATATCTTGCCGTCATTAAATAAATTATTAACATTTTTGAATAATAATAAATTATAATTAAAAGCAATAAACAATTCAGTAATAATTAAGAGAAAATTTACTCGAAATTTAATATTTACAGTATATAATTTTTTAAAAAATATCAAATTTTGATAAATGTTTTCTGGCAACATTCACTCTCTTTAACGTCATCCGATTTTAATTCTCCCATTGGCTATAATCATCACGTGACATAGCATGCAAACGATAGGACGATATCCGTTATCAATGTCTTAGATTATAAATCTAAGACCTTGATCCGTTATACCTTATGAATTCGAATTATCATTTGAATTACTGTATTTCAGCTAAAAATGTCAGAGGTAAGTTCAATTATTTTGTGGTCATGTAATGAAATTTTACCTGTAAAGTAAGCAGACGAGTCTGGCGTTGCTTTGGCAATTAAGTTAGTAACGGAAATTAACGGTCAAATTTAACTTAGGTAGCCAAAATGGCGGCGCTTCGGTTAGGTTTGTTTCGTTTCCGTTACATTAGCTACATCTTTACTAGACGTTTCCTTTTTTTTTTTTTTTTTTGTATTTATTTTGTTCAAGAATTACCGTGAATCAATAACTAGCGACATTTGGCACTCGGCGGCTCCCGGAGGGGAGCCGCCATCTGGACTACGAACAGTCAGAGCGCGGCCATGTTGGCTACTTAACTCTATTTATGAATATTGTATGAATAATGTAATTGCTTTCTTGTTAAAATTTAAAGTAAGTAGCCATAGCATGAACATTATTACTGAAATACATTTCATTCGCATATGTATAAATTAAAATGATAGCTTTGAATATAAATATAATATGAGTATCAGTTATTTTTCGCCATCTTTTTGTGAGCCGACTCTATTAAAATTCATACGATCGTACCTATTTCTTGCCACAATTTCTGGCGATATTTTACGGTAAAGGAAGCATCTAACTTCCCTGACATAAATTTAGGGTTGTGTGAGACTAATCGGGGGTAGGATGTTTACGAGGATGTTCCTCTCCTACCACTTACTCGACTCAAGACCTTGAGGTCCGGTCTCGCTTGTCTAAAGGATGGGAAAAACGGGTTAGGAGAAAGGATCGTTAGATTCTTTCTCCTGTCTGACACCAATCTATCAATTTATCGCGGATAGATACGCGGTTAATTCGATGGGGAATTATCACGAGCGATCTCGTCGAAGACTTCGGTTTGAGTATGGAGTGGAAATTGTCGGAAGAAACGCACACCAATCCAAGTTCATTAATAAAATACCCGTTTATTCCGGTTATTCCGTACATTTACACTTAGTTAATTATTTAAGGAGTCGAAGGTACAGATCCCTGGCCTCGGGAATTTCAATCCGTATAGTTCATTTGTCGCGACCCTAACCGCGAGGTTGGAATATTCGAGAGAGAGCTTACATATCATCGCGAGTAGCATAAATACCTCGAGTTGTAGAGGTTGAAGGGTTCAGGACGATCTCGGAGTCCGAATCCTGGGCTCGTAACTATAGTTCAAGTCGTAATCAAAGTCTTTAGAAGACGGTGGCGACGAGAGGCAGGCGATTCACGGGCACACTCACAGTTCAGGAAAAACTTGCCCCCCCTCGGTGGTTTCACAGTTTCTTTTATATGGGGGGATATCTTCTCGAGATCTCTCCCTGTACGTCATAGGTGATGATCTTCTTTGACCAATGGTGGGTGAAGTGACTAAATATGACACAACAGTTAACTCATCTTCTACAGGGAAGTATTGTGGTGGGAAAGGAGTTTTTATGAGCGATTTTTATGAGAAAATTTGTCGGTTGTTTTTTCCTTTTTGAGTTAACCCTAACTAAAAAAAATCGTTTTGGTTTGAAACGAATAGAAATTATTCGATTCTCAGCCTTTTTAAATCCTTTTAAATTTTTATCCTTTGATATATTTAAGTTAGACTTACATGTATACACACACATTCTACATAATAATGCAATGTTACAAAGCAAGATTATAACATGGCATTAAAGTGCCATAATTTTTGCCAGTTAACTGGCAGAGGTGCAAAAATCGTGCTTGTTTTGCCAATTATTTGCAAGAAATTATACTAATATTTTAAATTTTTTGTTCACAAACATTGAAATAATTTCAGTTTTTGGAATTCAGTTTATTCAACTTCATCACACTAAATTCAAAAAATCGCTATATAATTTGAGGAGTCTGCTTGCTTATTATTTTCAATTAAATGTTTTTTGAGGCCTTTTTGTCTCGTTTCATCAAATACTTAAAGGAGTTGAATTCAAAATTCTGACGAGTCTCGTTATTAGAATTTATTTGTTCTGTCTTTGAATCTTTTTAAGCGTTTGATTTGACGAGACAGAAAGATTCTGGAAAATAATCAATTGGAAACAAGACGATCCATTGAATTTTATTGTGATTCTTTGAATTAATTTATTTAGTTATTAACTTAAATCAGATGTTAAGGAAGTGGAGAATATTGAAAACTTAATGCAAAATTTCATAATAATTAAAAATGACAAACAATAAAGCAACTTGAATTGTAGTTTAAGTAAAGTTTATATTCTAAATTATATATAGAAATTTCATTCATAGATGGATAAAAAAGTTTTGTGTTTAATTAATCTGTTGTTAAAGCGGGCTTCTATAAACCGCTTTAACAACCGGTTGGTACCAAAAAATATAAATCAAATATGTAATGGGTTATTTATTACAACGTAATCGTTAGTGTTGTAACGTAGGATAAATTTAATGTAGGAAAGTGTATAAAGTGATAACCTAGTAATACGACATGTAAATTTAGATTATTCAGATGGGTGAGTATTTATAAGTTAGCAATAAGGAGTGCTTTGAATACTTTTTAAATATTCTTTTGTGTGAACTTCTTTAGTTGCACTGAAGTTAATGAAGGACTTAAAAATAGACGGTAGAAAAGTGAAAATCGAAAAGAGACATCAGAGAGAATTAGGTGAGTCAATGTGGTTTTTCCCCTGAGAAATAACATACAGGATTTGTAAAAAAAAACAAAAGTTTTTGGGTTTTTTTTTTTAGTAACTTATCACACGAGGAATTCTTATTGACATAGATTTCATCGATAGTTTATCAGTACATACATGAAACTGGAAGATCCCTAAAATTAGATT